ACAGAAGTCTTTCATTTTCTTCTCTATATATGGCAAAAAGGTTCTCAAGTTAAATAAAACAGTACCACTAATCTTGAGATATGACCAGCAATTCAAGTCAAAATTCTCATCAATCATAATGTCACTTCTACTCATTGTCATTTATTTGGTTTCTATTTTATGACCATTTGTAGGTTTTACTAATAAACTAAATGTACCGATGGAGGAATGAAAAGTGATATTGTACCAAAATTCGGCCCAAGGGAGCAGAGAGCTCTATTTTCGAGGATGTTGATGGCCAAGACATCAGATATATTGTTCCACACATTGGTTGACAACTTTTGATTGTCCATCCGTTTAAGGATGGTAGGAAGAGCTTATCTTAAGTTCAGTCCCTGAAAGCTAAAAAATTCTTGCCAAAAACGGTTAATGAAGATGGGATCTCGGTCACTTATAATAGATCATGACATACCATGTAACTTAACAATGTTGTCAATAAATCTTTCGACGACTCCCCTTGCAGTGTAAGGGTGTGTTAAGGGAACCAAATGAGCTAACTTGCTGAGGTGATCTACTATAACCATGATAGTGCTCTTACCATTCGAGGGGGGCAGCCCATCGATGAAATCCATGATGATGTCATCCCAAACTTGGCAGGGCACTGGGAAAGGTTGTAAGAGCTCGGTTGGGGCGAGAGAGTCTGTCTTGGCTCTCTAACAAGTGTCGTAGGCGGAGACATAATCTTGCACCACTTTGTACATTGACGGCCAATAGAATTGTTGAGTTAATCTTTTGTAAGTATGGAGTATCCCAGAATGGCCTCCTAGTGGTGAGTCGTGAAATTCTTTTAGCACCTGGTGGATGACAGGGGACTGAGGAGGCACTACTACTCAGTCGTGAAAGTAGAGTAGTTCATTTCTCCATAGGTAAGGCCGTCTTGGGTTATCTGTAGCTAAGACCCCAATTTTGTCCATATAGGCGTTGCCTGTGGTTGCTTCCTTGATCTAAGTCCAGATATTGCTATGTGGAATGGAGAGTGCATTGATGGTAGGACTACCCTTTTTTCGTGATAGGGTGTCTGTAGCTCAGTTTTTCCTTCCTAGTTTGTAGATAATCTCATAGTCATATCCAAAAAGTTTGGAAACCCATTTCTGTTGCTCTGGAGTGGTGATGCGCTGATTTAATAAGTACTTTAAATTGACTTGGTCTGTTTGGATAAAACACTTATGCCCCAGTAAGTAAGGTCTTCAGAGTCGGATGGCCACAACGACGGTTAGTATTTCTTTGGCGTATGTGGACTATGCCTGTTTAGCCACGCCCAAGGCTCGGTTCATGTAGGCGGATAAGGCGCCCCTGTTGAGATAAGACTGCCCCTATCCCGGTCCCGATGCATTTCTCTCTATCACAAATGGCTCACTGAAATTTGGTAGTGCTAATGTCCGAGTGGAGGTTAGTGCTTGTTTGAGCTGTTCAAAGGCCTTCCCGGCTTCATCCAACCATTTGAACTGTCCTTTTTTTTAGTAAGTTGGTGAGGGGCCAAGCTAGTATCCCATAACCTTTAATAAATTTCCTATAATACCCTGTTAGCCCCAAAAACTCTCTGAGTTTTGTGATGGTGGAAGGTTGATTCTAGTTGACCACTGCCTGTATCTTGATTGGGTCAACCTTGACTCCTTGGCGGTGACAATGTAGCCTAAATACTCAAGCTCATGTGCTCCAACAATATATTTCTTATGTTTCACATACAACTGGTGGTTCCTGAGAATCTCGAACACCTGTTTGACATTCTCAAGGTGCAAAGTCCAATCCGGACTGTTTATTAGTATATCATCAAAGAATACAAGTGCAAACTTACAGAGGTGTGCCTGGAATATGGTGTTCATAATTACTTAGAAGGTTGATGGTGCGTTGCACAAGCCAAATGGCATGACCAGGTATTCGTAGTGGCCATTATGAGTGCGAAAAACTGTCTTATGGATGTCTTCCAGGTGCACCTGAACTCGGTAGTATACTACTATTAGATCAAGTTTGGTGAAATATGCAGCCCCATATAATTCATCTAGCATGTCATCCATTGTTGGAATAGGGAAGCGGCCTTTGAAGGTTACATAATTCAAGGACCTATAGTCGGTGCAAAAATGCCAGTGTTGTCCTTTTTACGACTAGCAACATTGGTGAGGAATAGGGGCTAGTACTTGGTCGAACCAACCAGGCCTGTAGCATGTCATTAACCTGTTTTTCAATCTTAGATTTATGGAAGTGTGCATAGCATGTCATTAACCTGTTTTTCAATCTCAGATTTATGGAAGTGTGCATATTGGTAAGGCCTCACATTGATTGGTTCAGTTCCCTCATTGAGATTAATTCGTTGATCAATCTCTCTTGTGGGTGGTAGCTGATTGAGTATCCGGAATGTCATCAAAGTTAGCCAAAAGCTTTAACATTTCTGGCCGATTCTCCATTCCGACTACTATGCCTTTGTCATCCCCAGATTGACCCTCTACTAACCAACAAATGGCGCACACAATATGTATCTGATTTATCTCATGGACGATCTCACGATCAGAAGCAAGATGGATGGATGGGGCGCCTAATCCGCACAGAGTTCGCCTGTGACCATCCCACTAAAAGCTCATAGTGAGCCGCTTCCAGTTGCATTCCATTGATATGAGCTTCTCAAGCCACTGGACACCCAAAACTAAATCCAAACCGGTGAGAGGCAAAGCATATAGATGAAGTGTAAAGGAGGTACCTTAGATCATGATCGAGATGTCCTCGAATCGTCCTTGACATCAGAGGGGTCGGCCATCTGCAACCTTGATAGAGAAAGGAGGTTGGTTTTGCTGGAGGCAGAGCAAATCGACTACCCACTCACTGATGAAATTGTGAGTGGAGCCGCTGTTGATGAGGACTGTCACTTCGTGGCCTCTGATGGTAGCAGTGACTCGCATGGTGCGTGCTGTCGGCCATCTAGTGAGGGCATGGATGGAGATTTTAGGTGTGTCTTCTTCTTGCTTTACTTCATCTTCTTCATCATTCGCTTCCAGACTTAACAGCTGAGATCAACAGCATTTATGGCTCGCTGTAAATCTCTCATCACAGTGAAAGTAGAGGCCTTGGGTGCGTCAACATTGCATTTCGCCCTAGGAAAGCCATTTCAGCTGTGTGCTATCAGGGGCTAGGGTTTGCTGCATCGAGGAAGAAGGGTTGCCAAACAGGTTGGATATCGGGTTACACCCGAACCAATTTCGTTGACGACCACCGTTGCTTTTCTTCCATGTAGGCTAGGCTAATGGCCTCCTTCAACGAGTTGGGTCCAGCCCTGTACCCTGTTTCCCAACCTCTCAAATTCCCCTTGATAGTCTCTTAGTGGCCTTGTTTGTTTTATGTGTGGGAGGGCTTCATCAAAATCTTCCCCTTCGGTCGGTCCAAACCAGACCCAAATTTCCTCAACGAATCCGGTCCAGGTCACAGTTCTCCCCTCTTCTCCATACGCCTTCTTCAACCAGATCCACCATCGGTTTGCCTCTCCTTCTAGGTGGAAAGATGCTAGAGAAACCTTATGCTCTTCTTTTGTATTTTAGAAGTTGAAGAGTTGCTCAACTCTGCTCAACCATTCCGTCGGATCATCGCCCGAGAAGGTGGGGAAGTAGAGCTTCGCCATGCGGGAATAGAACGATGGTCGGCTCCCTTCGGTTCTCTCGGGGTAGTCTTCTTTGTTTGTTCGTGCAAGAAGTGAGTGGTTCGTATGGTGGCTGTTGGATCGTTCTTGATTCTATATGAGAGTGTCAGTCAATCGTCGAATAGCGTCCTCCAATTGGTGGAGTTTGTTGGCTGTGCCCAACTCCATTCGGCTCAGCTGATCTTGTATATTGCCGAAACTAGTCTCCAAGTTTTCAATCCTCTCTTTGTTGGTTGACATTAACTCTGCTCTGATACCACTAATGCAGTCCCAATCAAAACAATAAGAAAGAATGAAAATTGTTCTCTGCTTAGGGTGCAAAGTAAACCACAAGTTCTGAATTTTACTGCTTGCCTTCTTGCTAAACTGTGGCTGGATTTATAGGCAGCTGAAGCCTACAATTACAAGTGAGAGGAAAAGCTGAAAAAGAGATATCAGTACAACTGAAGTAGTGGAGTGAATGTAGATCGTGTGCGTGTGTGGAGTGGGGTGAGGTGGGTCGTGTGCAGGTGCGTTAGAATATGACAGATTGTTCGGTGGTGATGGTTGTCGCATTTTCTCAGACTTCTCTAAATCGTGGGTTGGGAACTGGTCTCCTCCGAGATCTCCGCAGTGGAGATGTATCATTATCATTTTCAACTAGAACATAATACATACATATATATATCTTTGAACGTAATACCCAAATTAATTATTATCAGATGTTCTCATAGTCAGCAGCAATCTTTGACCTGAAAGGAAAGCACAAAACAAAGAAAAGTTAAGACAGTTCCTCAAGAATACTTTGGCCTTGTCCAGTTCATAACTTCAAACAGTTCGCTCAACTCAAAGAGTAAAAAAGATATTACTCATTTTCTGAACCAGAAATGGAATGATGTCTTATTCTTCCATTTCCTTGACTTGTTGCATCAATAGCACAATGTCTCTTTTTTTTTTTCCCTCTTTTTTTGCACATAAAAGTTCATCCTTCCAACCTTTGTGACAATGAAGCACTTCCCTTTGCATTTCAAGAAAAAAAGGGCAAGAGGATCACTCATAAAACAGTAATTATATTTCAAACCAGATATTCTTTAATATCAATTATGAAATAAAATAATTGAATTTTGCAGAAAAAAAAGAAAACACAACTTAGTGGGCAAAAATGGCAGCAGACACGTACAGAAAAAACAACCACTTAGGAGATAAGCTTAAAAGGATACTTATAAATCTAAAAAATTTGTTATTATACTTTGTATTTGTTTTTAATGGTATAGAGTCAAGACAACATATATTCGTACTAAAATTTGCGTTCATTTCCCAAAACACATGGGAGAGCTTTTAAAGGAAAAAACTATGACAGTGAACCTTTCTCCAAAAATCCATACTGAAGAAAAAATCCCAACAATAACTATTCCATTTACAATCTGCATCCATTCCTCCATTTGGGGCAAACTCAAAAAGAAAATAGAGCTATCAATCCCAAGAGATGAGTAAACTAATCATATGCTCTAGACAACCCGCAACTCCCAGCACTGTTACTCTGTAGGATAACATCTAAGAAGCGGTAAAAATATAGGTATTGCTACAGCTACTATATCCACTGTGCAGGATTTAATATCATAGAGGAATGAAAAACAAGTAGAAGACAGGCTACGGTAAGATAATACCAGTACTTAGTCATCACCAATTCCATTTTGGACTTTTAGATTCATCACCAATTCCATTTTAGACTTTGAGATCATCTGATAGTGCAGATGGTATGCAGTGAGTTGAGAGAATATCTAAAGTAGCTGCCTTTGCAATCTCCGTCCTGAGAACCACTATCTGCACGACAAAAATGCTAACTTAGAGAAAACCACCATTACAAGTACATGTTTTGATGTAGAGAGAGAGAGAGAGAAACCTGATCATAGTCTAGATCGAATTTCAAAAATTCATCTTTGCAGCTTTCCACCATTGCAGCCAAGCTCATCAGATTC